CACACACACATATTAAAACCCCACTGTTGCATAATTGTTTTATAATGCAAGGAGTACCATTGCCTTATCATTGAGATCCTGACAATACACTACTGACTATAATGTTAGTATTTTCTTTTACATTCCTTTCCCTTTCACGATTTTCATTTCTTGCGTTATTTATAGCTTCACGTTCGTCTCCTTCCTGTACTTTATTGCGTATCTTATCTTCATCATCGTCTTTGTCTCTCTTTTTTATCGTCCGTAGTTGCATTTTCTTTTATTCTATGAGGGTGGGGTTGGTCAGGCAAAAGATCCGAGACAGAGATCGTCTTGCGTTTCACACGGGAAAGCTCGTTCTTTTAGCCACGCCCACTACAGTAATGTTTCTCTGTGTATCGTTCGTGTCTTTTTATATCTCTCCACTTTTAAGGCCATTTCTCTCTCTGCTTTCCATGATCTTCTCATTTTCTTTTTATTTCTATTGCGGTTTTCATTACGGTTTTCAAACTGTCTGTCTGTATTTTTTTCATTTTATGTTATTGTTGTCCTCTCTCTCTTCTCTTCAATCCTTTTTAAACTGGATTTGTTTACGTCATTATATATGCATTTCCTAATTTTATTTTTTTGCTTTTCTTCACCATTTTCGAAAATATCCATTACTTCATTCTCCGCTTCCTTTTGCATTGCACATTCAACATTCTGCACTCGAAAGCAAAAGCGTCCGTTTTCTCTAATCTGCACAAGTCTCCCCTTCTATTCTTTTCTTCCCTGTTGCAACTTTTGACCCTCGGATCGTAGCCTTTCACGCCCATGTCAGTTCAGTCACATCGCCTACAAGAGCTTTTGTATATTTACTTACTTATCTGGTTATTTATTGATTTATCTATTTATTTACTTTTAGCTCTGTGTCCTTTCTGAAATTGCCCTGAAATTTTAGTTGATGTATTATTTTTTATTATTATAAAAAAAAATGTATGTTATTTTTGTAGGGTTCCTAGTTATTTGCTTGTTTGCAGAATTTACAATTCGTGTCATTACGTTTTTTTTTTTTTTTTTTTTTTTTTTTTTGCAACGAACTGCACTTTCATGGAAGACCCATGTTTAGATAAAAAAAAATAAAAAAAATCCAACTCAAACATATAACCATTTCCACCCCCACCCCACCCACCCCTCCCTCCCTCCAGTCCAAAAATCCCCACCCACACGCCCATCCCTGACGCAGACGGACTGCCCACTGCAAGGTCATCTCGAGCACTGAAGGCGTGGCTCTTGGGGACCTTATATTTAGGGACTTCAAGACGGGCATGAGTCACGCCCATGGACTCCTTGACGCCGTCCAGTACGAATGAAAGTAAAAACCTCTTCTTTTCTCTTGCTCTTGATCTCCGTTTGTGACGTCACTTCCGTAAGAAAAGGGGGGAGGGGTAAGGTAAGGGGGGGGAGAAGATCAAAGGTGGTGCTATTTTTTTTGTCTTTGTCATTGTCCATTTCCTCTTTATTTTGTTTATTTTTTTATTCCTTAGTTTTGAATCCTGTCATAGAATGTTATATATGTTACAATAATAAATGACAGACAGATAATAACAATATCCTCTCTGTTCCTTTTCATTAACATATATAAATCTTTTCGAGAGAGAGAAAAAAGAAAATCGTAAAAATAAATGGATTGCTTATCAAATCCTTTCAAAAGAAAAACAACAAGAAAAAAAACGCATGAATTTCATATAATCAGAAAACCTGCACATGCATATTATCTATACGATTTCACTTCTGGTGAAGAATACACAAGAATAAAACAAAAATGAAACAAATAATAATAAATTTGGCAACTGTGCACGGCCAACTCTGACCTACTTTGCAATTCCGAAGAACTTGATTTTGTCTCGACTAAGCCTAATAAGACGCTCCTGCTCCAGATATTAGTGGGTTAGCATTATCTTCCGTTTTCTTCTTAAATGGCTGGCTGTAATTGTGTCGGTGAAAACGATTTAAAATTTAACTGCGTTCACGTAATTATTATTGAGAACTAAATTTGAAAAAGAAAAAAAATCTATGATTTATATATTTTTACTTTATTATGTTTTTTTTTTTTTCTAGAGTTATATATCCGGAAAGACAAAGAGGGAATTTCGTTAATTTCCGTATTTATGTATCACCAACACAAAAAAAAGAGCACAGGAGGAGAAAGAGGGAAGCAAGGAAGGAAAGAGGAAGAGAAAGAAGAGTACAATATATCTTATTTACATATTTTTAGAAAACGCTTCAGCACCACACACACACACA